AAAAAAAAAAAGGAGAAAAAAAAATATCAAAAAACACAAAAACTGAAAAAAGAAAAAAACGAGAATAAAAAAAAAAAAAACGAAAGGGACACAGGCACGTTCCCACAAAAACGCTGGCAAGAACCCCCCTCCCCCCCCCCCCCCCACGTGCCCCCTTTTCCCACCACAACCCCCCCCCAGCGTTCTCATGTGGCGCTGTGGCGAGGCCGAATAGCTACCGAAGTACTGGTACACGTAGTGGCGAGTGCGGTGGCTTTCACCCTTATAAGTTATGTCATCTGAGCGTATTTACCTGAAAACACCCACCCCAGTCACTTAACCGGTGTTGCTCGTCACACACCCCCGCCACCCAACCCACTTACACCCTCCCAAAGTGGTTGACAAAAAAAGGTCCCTACCGCGAAACATCCTCACCCACCATCAACCACCACCAAAGAGGGCAGTTTGTGCCGGTATTTTCTCGCAATTTCTTCAAAAACGAGTCTATTGGGTTCATTGATATCTTGCCTCTAATTCCAACGCGTTCTTTAAGCGGATGAGCGTTGTTGAAGTGCAGTGATATGGTGGTGTTTGATGGTGGGACAGTTTTGCGGTCTGGCTTAATTTGTCGCCCCTCCCACCCTTGATGCTACGGTGGTGCGCCACCTATGGCGGTGCAGCGCTTGATCCACAGGATGATGGTATGATATAATATTGTGGATGTTTGCGGATACTTGGGTGGGTTTTGGGGTTGCTGCTTGTATCAATGGTGGTGAGTGGGTGGGAGGAAAAGTTCCCCGGCGCCTGGCCGCGCGGTGTGGCGAGGGGACATATGGAGCGGTGTGTTGCTGAGTCTGGGCGTGGCCGGTCGGTCCGACTGTGGCGTTGGGAACTGGCTAACTGCGGTCGGTTGGGTTTTCGGTTTCGGAGGGGATTGGTTGGTGCGAGTGCGCGAGGAAGGCTTGTATCGGCTGTAGAAGGTGAGTGTATACCTGAGCACCTGAGCTCGTGCTGAGGTCGAGGTCGGGGTGACGGGGATAGGCCTAGAAAAGGGATGTTAGTGGTGTTGGTGGCCAACGGACTAAGATCTCTTTTAACGATAGCGTAGCCGTCTATCTTCGGGAATTGACGTTTCCGGACAGTTAGTTTGCATGGCGTTGTTTCTCTTTTGTTGCAAGACTCCTTGGGATTATTTATGTATGCACATACAGAGAAATACACCCACACATGCGCGGCCCGACCTCGAGGACCCTTATTTCACCTGCCACAAGAGCATCCCGTGGCGAGCAACAGGAAAACACAACACCACCCATTCGTCTTGCATACACCCGGTCCCCTAGACCCCATTGGCCAGATACCCCGTCCGTACGCGCGGCAGCTCGCCGTCCCGAGAACCGCTCCCCGGCGTCCCGCCGCTTGGTGATCGACACAGACATGCCCCGATTCGGAGCTCGCAACCACGCGCAACGGCTATGAGGGGGGCGTGCCCGTAGACAGGCAGATGAAGTGAAACATTTCTGATTCTGGGTCAGCGGGGCGGGTTGTATCGCGAGGGTCACTCGGTCGATTCCCCGTCCACGAGTATCTCGCACGAGATACAAACTCAATATGTGAGGCATGCCCCCTTTTTTCTCGAGTTCGGCGAGGCCGTCACAAGTAGTTGCAAGTTGCAGCCCGTGTTCGAGTAGTTTGGCCCTGTGCTCAGTTGTCATGGGTTCATAACCCCTGAGACATGACCGCTGGAGGCCACCGCGCTACCTAGCCGGTACGTCGTCCCTGCGGGTGACAACAAAGGGACGCCAAGGAGCGCAATTGCGGCCCGCTTGTACATCCAGGGCGTGGGAGGTCGCAACGCATCGTGATCGGTGTGCATGCTGCACGAACTGTGCCCCTCGGAACGTCCCCGGGGCCAGACTGGCGGTCTCGGTCCGGGCTGACGGTCACCAACAACCTCGGTGCGCCAGCGCGCTCTTCTCCAGTCCTCCAACGCCACAGCGCGGCCGAACACAGTAGCCATCCGTCCATCCTCCGCACATGCAAGCAGAGAGGACGTGGGGCCGGGATTTGAGTTGCTATTTAAGGAGCAGGGGTCAGTCAAATCAGCACCAAGCACACCACCAAAACATGAGAAGGACTGAATCAAACACCCACCACCTGATCCCACAAAACTTTTCACCTTGAAGAGGTTATCAAATGCGGTGGCGGCGGGCGGGACTCACGGTACGAAAGGAGTAAAATTTGGCCAAGTGGGCGGCCTCCCCGACGGCCACATGATTCTGTTGCAATAAATATCTGTATACTAGTCAAGGACGAAGACCTGAATATGCGGCCTCGTATTCAATGGCTGTCCGACCTTCAATGTAAGTCGGCGAGTCGGCCGCAGACCTAGCCCCTGAATCCCGATTCCTGGACCCTTGAATTCAAAATTCTGAAAATTATCGGTGGTGTTTTGTACTGGAGGTTGCCGTGGCGAACCTGTGAATAGACATAAGTGAGTGCTTGAGGGATGTTTTCAATCCTTATGTACATGTATTCAAACTCGACCTACCGCGACCATTCCACTACCTTGAAGCTACATTTCATCCTTCCAGTCTCCTCCCACTTCAAGAGAAGCCTTTTCTATCTGATGTTTAGCCTCTGAGTCTTCAGGCGATAAGTTGTCTTACCTTTTTACCTCGTCAACAACGCCACGCACCCAACAATTGGTGTGTTTTACAGTGAACCTCTGCAAAGCATTGGGGGCCGAGACAGATTCCAAGTTAGGTACCTATCGTTGATAGATAGGTAGGTATTTAGGCAGAAGTCTTGACCTGCCAATTGGCACACCTGAAAATGATCGAAATCTGAGTGGGTGTGACGAATCACTTCGCACTTTCCGAAAACGTTCACAAGAAGTATGTGTCTGCCTAGAGTTTCTGTTGGATTTTCCTATCTGCTTTGATCAACCCGATGGGCGTGACCATCCAAGTTCAACGTGTCCGGCCTTCTGCCTGATGAGTATGGCAGCTTTGATTTGGGTTGTTTTTATAATCTTCGCTGCCCCGTATTTGTCTCCTGCAAATCTTGGATACCTATTCGCAAAGCGCAACAACATCTGAGCCAGGGCGGCAACTCACTGGTAAAAAGGATTTGATAATCCCCTCCAAGCGAGTCAAGGCTGAACTTTTTGCAAGACGCACGAGATGGAACTCGGCGCGCAGATTGGAACCATGAATCCATCATCCAGCGAAGCTGCACGCAATGAACCCGAGCATCCCCCTAACCCTCCACCGGCCGACTTCAGAGCGTTCGAGGCAAGCCTACCACAAACACAGCCATGGACCACCGACGGCTACCCTATCGTCGACGGCAAATACCACAATCTCGACACGGGCGAGGTCATGGCCCACACCGGACTGATGAAGGGCGGTCCTCCGAATATCACCGTCTACTGGCAAAACCGGTTCGCCACCGGGCGCGGCGACCAGTTCCTCGTCGTCAGCAAGACCATCTACAGCACCCGCAGCTTGAGCGAGTATATCATCCGGATTGGCCATTTGTTGCAGAGGGGACCAGGTGTCTGCAAGGTGGACTCGCTGAATGCCACGCCGTACTCGGTGTATGTCGTCGTCACGTCCGAGGCGTCGCAGGAGGAGTTCAAGCAGGCTCTCCAAGAGCATGGTCTTCTTTCCTAAACCTAGGGATATCCCTGCTATGAATTAATAACACTAGAATGTTTCGTTTTTGCCACTCAAAGATGCCCATAGAACTTTTGTGGGCTCCATAAAAACCCCAAAGCAGCCAGGCAAGGACCTCGCTCGATTCCTCGCCGGAGCATTTCCCCCTCCACTACATTTCCCAACATCCCAGACCCGAACAAACACTCATCAAAACTCCATTCGGAAACCACCCGAAACTGAGCGGCTGTTAAACATGACACCATACCCCAAACGCGGCTAATAAGCCCCCGCCCCCCAAATAAAAACAAAAAAAAAACAATAAGCACCGCCAAATGAGTGTCATCCCCCCCACCCAATCACGACCTCACCCAGCCACGCACGAAAACAATGGCACCTCGTTTGATGAGCGGCCCGTTTGAAGGGGGCCCGCCGGGTCCAACGCCCTGGGCCCCCGGTCCTCGATTTTCAGCTCGATCGTCAGCCCGATCCCGATCTCAAGAAAAGTTTTTCACCCAGCTCACGCGTCACATCGCAGGGGTCGGGCGGCCACGGCGGGCCGCGATGGGCCGCGATGGGCAAGGGAACCAAGCGGTCAGCTTTGGGCTAATACATAGAGTAAAATGTTAAGAGGTGGAGTATGAAGGGAGTTATGTAGGGTAGGCACCTATGCATCAAGCGGGAAAGACATCATCGAAGTGGGAGAGAGAGGGCGGGAGGTTTAGACGTGCTCGAGAGTGATATAAAGGCCCAGGTTGGGGTGGATCTTCTAACCATCCCGACCGAGAACATTACTAACAGAGTAAACAAACATTGTAGAGAATATCACGACCAAGAGCAGCAGAAAACAACCTCATACAGCCTTTATAAACCGCCAACCAGAAGACGGAAAGAGCACAAAATACCGCCGACAACCAACAATCGCACCGACAGACTATAAACCACCTACGCATCTCCTCTAGGTACTAAAGATGGCAGGAGAGAAGAAGAATAAACCGACAATAAAAACCAAACAAGCCAAGACAACGTCCGCCGCCCAACGAGCGACCTGGTATCTCGTAAAAAAAAAGAGTAAGAGAAATAGAAGACCGTAATCACCAAAGCCCCGCCCGTCCATCCCCAGCTCAACGCCCCGAAAGAGTGCGTGATATACACCGCAGCCCAGCACCCGCGATTTTGATGTGTGCCTCAGCTACCGCCAACCGAGTCATCCCCCCAAAACCGGCCGAGCCAAACCGCGCCCGAGCCTTTGACGCCCAACCGACCATCCTTATCCACGCATGTATGTTCCCCACCCAGCCCAAACCAAGTTATCCTCACCCACACAAGATCCAGAAAAACATAAGTAATCACAACCCACTAGTATCGCAGCCGCAGCTCAATAACTCCGAGCGCGGAATTGCTTTCGGGCGACGGGAGGTCCGACTCGCCGGGGGCGTCGAGCGCCATCTCCCACTCGCGCTTCACGGCGCCACCAGCCGGTGGGCTGCCGATCTCGGCGATCTCGAGCGTCATGTCCAGGCCCTCAGGGAGCTCGCGGACGACGTCGTCGTCCATCTCAACCTCGAGACCGCGCGGTTCGACTACGTGTACGGTGCGCATCACCCGGGCCGCGTCAAACTGCCACTTGGCCGCGAGGCGCCGGACTAGTTCGCCCAGCGAGCGCTGCGTGAGGTAGACGGCGCGGTGGAGCTCCTGTCCGGCACCCGAAGAGGCATCGTTGGCGGACGTGCGACGCGCGACGTAGAAGCACGCAACGGGCTTGGGGGTAGCGCGGTCCGCCGGTGGGCGGTAGGCGGCGTCGACGCCGAGGGCTTCGATCCAGCCTGTCAGGTTGCCTGCCTCGTCAACCTGGCGGACTCTAGTGGGTTGATGTTGGTGGGAATGAAGATTGTCGCGTGACGAAGGGTCCGAGGTGTTGCCGCCCATTTGGTAATCCTGCCATTGGGGCGGTTTGCCGCCGATGGAGGTTTGTGAATGTAGCGATAGTGAGCTTGGGGAGGGCGAGACGAGCGAGGAACCTGTGACGGAGCTTCGCCCGCTGCGCCAAGTGTTGCTGTCGCGCGATTCAACCTTGCTGAGATCGAGGGAGTCGCCGGGAAGGGAGACTGGGTGGAGGTCGGGGTCGTCCGAGGGCTCGCCACGTAGGTATAATATGCTCACGGGCCGGGTGCTGGTGAACATGTCCTGAAGAGTTTGGAGCTTGAAGTGGAGATCCTCCTCCAGAGGTGCCCGTGAACCGCCGCCCGCTGAGCTGGCAGAGGACATGGACCACGTGCGCTTGTGCTTCTGCACCTTGCCGGGCCGTTGCCCGTTCTGACCCTTCATTTGCGAGCCACCGCCCGTTCTCTTGCGCTTGCCGAAGTCTTTCATGCCGCTCTCGGCTTGCGCAATTTGCTGCTTCAGCTTGTCGATGGTCTTGCGGATGTGCGCCACGTCGTTAGAGAGTTTGCGCTCAGCGCCATGGTCGCGGAACAGCTTGACTTTGCAGTAGCAAATCTCGGGTGCGTTGGCGGTATCGGAGGGGGACGACCCGTCCGCTGGGAACAGGTGCGTCTTGGCGCAAAGCCTGACGGGGATGCCCTTCACTCCCTTGGAATGGCTGAAGTCGGTTGAAAGGAAGTTGAAGCGGACGGCAATGTTGCACTCAACGGCGGTCCCGTTCACACCAGGGGTCCAAATGACCGAGAAACCGTCAAATGATGAGGTTTCTAACTCAATGCGCGTCTTCTTGTCGTCACCTTCCGCCGGCTGCCCCGCCTCAACATACTCGACCGCCTGTAGTTTTCCTCCCCTTTGGTGCGCCTCGTTTGTGCCTCGCCCTTCTTTCCATAAGCTCCAGCATACCCCCGGTTTCGCCCGCTGTTGTTCGTCCTCAAATGAGACTCGCACAAACGTCCGGAATCGCGTGCCGGGAACAATGGGGAGGGTAGGCATCGTATCCACGATGGATAACGAGTATGCCTGGCCCTTGTTTAGGTAGGTAACGGGTATCTCATCGGCGTGCTTGATCATAGCCGTCGGAGCGTTGAGAGCTGTGTGGAAGCGGAACTTTTCGGCCGATGCTGGGATATGCACGGCTGTGGCCATCCCAAACTGTCGTGTTTGGAAAGCGACCATGGGAGTTTGGGTCTGGAAATTTGCGTCGATAGTTCGAATGCGGTCATCGGCATGCTCAGAGTCCATCGGCGACCCCTGATCCATTGTTTCATAACCGGTATCTTGGTGCATGAATGACGATGGTGCGAAAGACGGCTGTGGTGGAGGGGCCTGGATGAAGGGATTGTACTGTTGGAAAGGCTGCTGGTGAAACCCATGATGAAAACCACCCATATCCATGGGACCCGCGCCTGGGTGTACTGCGGTTGCGTGCACCGCACCCGACTGTATTGCGCCCTCAGAATTTGGCATAGACAATGGAGTCCCAAGGCCCATGCCCAGACCCAAGGTGGGCGTGTGAAGGTCGCCAGCCTGCGGGTGGTAGAGAGTATTGGTTCCCCCTGGGGTAGGGGCATAATAGCCTGGGGCCTGGTTTGGGAAGTTGGTGAACGAGAATGTGCCCGCGTCTAGCAAGGACGGAGTGAACCGCCAGGGGTCGTTAGATGCCCGTGGGGTCGGGTCTTGATCCCGGAATGCTTCATGGCTGATGCTATGGGACCTACATTGTGGGGCCGAAAGTTAGTTATCACGCCCTAAGGGGTCGACGTCACCGAAGCATACACATCCGACGTCTGCGAGCCGCTGAAAGGGAGCTCCTCGAAGAAGAATAGAGGGATAAAATACTCCAGAGTGAAAAGACGCACCTTTCCGGTCCGGTGCCGGGAACATCGGCATGCTGCCCCGCGGTCGCCGTTCTAGCCGGAGCGGCTGCAGTGGCGGATGAGCCGACGACGGCGACTTCAGGAAATTGTTGCCTGAAGTTGGCCAGCAGGTCATCGCCGGGCTTTTGCGAACTTGTTCTGTATGACACTCGGTGTAAGCAATGAGGCCATCACAAGGAGGGTGGAGCATTGTGGGTCGAGGAGGTCGGGAGGCCCGCGCATTCTGACTCGGTGTTGAAGGGGAAAGTGGCGGCCTCGAACTTACCGTTGACGGAACATGAGTGCGACGATGTCGGCTCGGCCGGAGACGACGGCACAAAACTCGTGACAGTCCGAGCACTTCCTGTCGGCCGTGCGAAACGTGCGTGAGAATGCCTAATGCGGCTTCTCTCTCTCTCTTTTTTTTTCTCCCTTTATTCTTTTACACCTTTTTTTTTTTAAAAAAAAAAAAAACTTCAGGCGCGCACAGCCGTCATGCAGGCAAGCGAAGGAGGACCGTTTGTTCCCAATGTTTTCGCCTGGCGTGTCACAATGAAGCGAGTGAGCCGAGCCGTTGGGGAAAGTGCGCGCGATCGAAGGACAAGGTATCGAAAACGAGAGTCGTCTGGGTGGAAAAAGAGAGGAGATGGCAAAGCGCCCGGCCGTGGTTTAGCAAGTTCAAAAGTTTGGCAAGAAGGGTCGCGACCGTATCGAAGAGGGGAGGTGCGGGTAGGTGGCCTTCGGGGCTGTCCGTATATACCAACTCGGTCGCAGACTCCACTGTCGAATAAATGCAGCCGATTCCGAGCGAGCCCAGGTCCACCTGTGTGTCTGCGGAGGAAGGTGTGGAGCAGGCCGCGGGAAATGGAAGGAGACTTCGAGACAGAAGACTGCAGGCAATGCTAGAAAGATCGAGCGCAAAGCAGGTACCATCACACCCAATTGCGCTGAACGGGAACCCCGCCGAACCCCGGAGGAGTACCGAAAATGTGGCTGCTTTTTTGTTTGCGGAGACGGATGGGGTGCCTCGAAGACGTAGCAAGGGGGGCTTGCTCCGGAGGGATGTTTCCATTAACGGGACATGATTACAAGGGTTGCAACGAATAAGACAACGTTATATCGGGGCATTATTTCCGCAGCATGTCGAACACCTTTTGGGCATGGGGTGGCTCGGTGGCATCCCTCCCTAGAATTTAGTAATCCATTACTGTACATACATGCGAAGTGCGAATAGGTTGGGTTGTTCGATACTGGCACTTGGCGTGCGGACTATTCGTAAGGTACTTCCATTGCAGGAGCAGTCGCAAGATGTTCTCTTATCGGGGAGCTTCGGGAAGCGAGAGTGGTGAGAGGTGACACGGATAAAGTACTGGTACTTTTATCCAGCCCCACCGCCACGCATTGCGACAGCATGTCATGGCTGTGCCCCGGCCGGTTCGCCACACATAGCTCAAAATAAGCCACACCAACCCTAACTACCTAGTATGTACTGTACTCCTTTCCCAATGGCCACACTGTCTCTCTGTTCAACTGACGACGAGCCTTTCGAACCATGAGCGAATCTTTCGAGAAAGGCAGCTTTGTGGGTATGACATGACGCTGTGGCTCAGAACCGCGGCCCCAGGGTCTGTGAGCAAACAGAAAGTATGGGTCTCGCGCGACTGTTCCGTTCAATCTTTGGATGTGTGATGTTGTATTAAATGCAGGGATTACCCCGGGAAGCCTTGACTGGCACGCCCCTTTCACATCCGTGCCCAAACAGACGAACACCACACTCCAGCAACGGAATGTGCCGGTCTGGGTGCCCTTCTTGCTCCTTGCAAACCAACTTATCGGTGACATAGCTACTATTTACGGATTTGGGCGAATTCGCATCCCAACGTGCTTGCTTGGGTCGACGAGATCGAACCATCAGAAATTAAATAAAAATCAGCTTTGCTCAGCTCCCCCCGCTCAAAGTCCCGATCTGAAAGTGGTACAGGGGTCTCCATCCCGAGAAGGGGCCAGATAAGAATGACGTCACAGCAAACTTTTCCCCAGCCTTCCGCAATGCGAGCGCATCCCTGCCGTTGTTCCAGACTCCAAACTCTCTCTTTCCCCGCCGCAAGCGCAGGCTGTAGGCCCATAACAACGCCGAATCGCCGACTAGGTGAAAAATCGGGATGGACCTTCACAACATGGAATGATTTGAAGGTGCAGGGATAATTTTTGAGGTGAAGTCTTTCTCCCCCAAGGTTGCGCTGATGACGCCGGGCCGGGCTATCACATCGAAATAAAGCGTTTACAAGTCGATCTCGGCTGCTTTGGGGCCCTTGAGGTCCCACTAACTTCGGTATTTCTGGAAGCATTCCGAAACTGGGGTCCAGGGTATCCAACACTTTTAGAACTCGTCCTCGCAATAATACCTGAACTCCCACATACCTATGTGCATCAGTATAGTTGGGCACTTCGTACTGAGTCAGTTCGCCGTCTCAGTTGCATGAGTGGTCTGACTTGATAAACGGCGCAAGTATATTGTATAGATGTTGGATATGATTTGCTCTCTCGCCCTACACACTCCCCACATTCTGCCCCAGGATTGCCCGGCATTTCTCCCGGGTGCGATATTACCGGCCGGTACTGTGTAAACGGGACATGTAAGCGTCTCCAGGTCCAGCGTCGGTGAGAGGCCAGCGACAATCACGCCAAGAAAAGGGTCCATCTGATGTTTAAACCCCACAGGCACACAGGCACATAGTCAAAACAGTTCCGACGAGCACACGAATACATGAACCCCAAGCGTTGGGAACAAGCTGAGCAGACTCTGCACACTCAGGTATTCAGCACCTCAATTGAGATGTGGCTGCTGCTACACTGACCTCCATCAGCGTCTGCTCCTTAAGCTGTTCCGCCTTTGCTTCTCAGTTTCTTTTACCTATTTTATTTCCTTTTGGTCCCCTTGGCCCCTCAGCGGCCTCGTCCCTTCGGCACGGTGACGTCACTGTTTCAGCCAAACCACCCTTGCCAATTTTCCACGAGGCACAATATTTCCAGCAGCGCCTGTGTCTGGCTGGGCGACGTGGCATGTCCACAACAGAGGAGCCTGAACCGCGAACATTGCTCCGGATCAATAAAATGGGTTCAAATTCTTCGCAATTGGATGCAGAAGCAGTTGCTCTTCCTTTTTAGGACGGTTAGAGACGCACGCGATTCATCCGCTTCACCGCCTTGACCGCCTCCCCCCGCAAGGTCGCACCGCATCAAGCACCAGTGCAGAGCATTGAGGCAGGCAACCATCCTGCCATCATCTGATCACTGCCACAAGATAAAAGGGCCACAGGACCATGTTGTGACACCGCGGGGGCACTTCGGCCGCGTGGATGGGGTCGCGTGCGATTCGTCGCTGGTGAAAGAGCAGCTGCAGCCTCGACGTCATATCGATTCAACCGAGAGATGCGATTGTTGACAAATTCCCATCTCAGCTTGCCCCCTGTGCCGTTCGCCGTTGTGTGTTGTCTCAGCGGCTGTCCCGCTTCTCGCAGTCGGGAACGCCATGCGTTTGAGCAATGAGTAAGAACGAACCACACCAGGGCGTGCTTGCTGGAGCCCCAGCCCAACCTCAGATTCAGCCCGGGTGAATGAATGAATGGCCAGGGACATATGACGTCATTGGGAGATTTGCTCAAAATTACCCGTCGCATCCATGGAGAAGAAAACGCCGCCCCTGCTCCTCCCAGGCTCACCCCACACCCTTCCGGCTGAACTACCAATCATCGCTCCAACGGTACGCGAACGACCCCCAACGACAGCCTGCGATGGAATCGGGACGGGTAAAAAAGGGAAAAAATGATCAAAGGTGGGAAAGACATCCTTGCATTGCCTTACACAGCAACCATGAGATTGGACCGAGACCCTCACAGAGACCGAAAAATGGACTTCGAAACAGGGTTACATGCAGGGAGGGATCGACAGAAAAGCTCAAAGCACTGCCATCACGGCCCCCCAAGCAATTCCCTCATTCGGCATGAGCCCCGAGACGAACCCGCCGGCCGTTGGGCCGGCTGAGTCCGGGCTGCGGGAGCATGGGGAGCCCATTGTCACCCACCGGGTCGGGACTGGCTGGAATCTTCCGCTGCATCCACTTGCCATGATTTACACACATCACGCATCATCACACGCGGCTGATGTTCCATCAAAGCAAAAGAACTCAGCCGCTCGTTGGGCGATGACGAGCATGGTCACTTCAACGCTGGTTCTGCTCGAGAGGGTTACTCTCGTACCCACAGAAACCTCACCGAGCAGCCGAGCTCAGCTTGACATGGAGCGGAGATTTGAAAGAGCATATAACTACCGCTTGATATTACTCACCTTCATACCACACCACAACGTACGTCTATGAGCTGGGATGGGGGCCGGCCAAGGGTCAGACGCGCTGAGCAATAGGTAATACACTTGCTTGTGTCTGTATCGAAGTATACTTTGCCACACCGTCCGGCCGCCCTTCCTCTAGTTATGGGTCACACAACAAAATGTTTGTAATTCAGCGCCCCAGCTAGTCGATCTCGTGGGCCCCCGGCTTGCGTGGACAGGTGAAACCTCGAGTCTGCTTTCCAGATTACCAGCCGATCCCGTCGACCGGTAACGTCAACATGCCCTCGTGAGAAAGGCCAAGCTTCGATATTGCCACCGTAACACTCGCAGCCCAGATTGTACCTCGAAGCCCATCCCGCTGGTTATTTTTGGGAGATCAGCAAATCCAAACCCATCAAGGCGGCGACCCCAGTCTCCCATGTATGTAGTGTATGATAGTATGGAATAGTCATATGTGCCGAGCTATAGCCATAGATGAGCCATTCTCCATTCTCCATTCTGCATTCTCGCCCTTCCCCCCATTTTCGACCACATCCCCGAGAACCCACCGCCCCCTGCATCCCGCATACCACACCACGCCACATTTTCCCCCACCACGAGCTGATCGCCGTTGGCAAGCCGGGACGCGGTGATGAACAAGATAAACGAACCGGGAGGAAGCCCCGCCTTGCCCGGCGGTCATGGTGGATAAGGCAAATAGGCTCATCGGATCTCAAGCATCCCCAGCTTGAAAAATCTCATCAGTCGCCGCCGGTGTGGCTGAGCATCCGGTGCATGGCACCCGGCTGCAACATGGGATACTTCGTATTCGGCCGCTCTCGCCGTTTCCGTACACCGGACAGACCCTTTCGTCTATACGCCGGCCGGCCGGCCGGAGATTGGGGTTGGCTAGTTGTTGTTGTGCGCGCGGGTGATGCCGCCGGCCCCCGCTCCGGGTGGTGAGGATGGGGGGAGGCGTGGGTTTAAAGTTTAGACTAGGTAGCTCGGCAGTGGAAGGGGGGTGGAGGTGTAGTTCCCTGCTGGCCAGCGGCAAGGTTACCGGCAACGGTCGACGACGCGGGGGCGGACTGTCCAGTTCTGGGGTAACGGTGAGGCTGAAAGCTCATCTCACCTAGCCTCGTGTTTGCAAGCGAGGCGGCGATCATGTATATGTGGTGTTGTTATGTGATCTCTCTGCTCGTGTGCGCTTCGGCTGAGCTGCTGTTGGTCATCTCGCGTGGGTTATACCGCTTCGGCTGAGAAGGGGACGTGGCTGTAGTGTTTGTCCGACCCCGTTGTTTGCAATCTTGTTGCTATTCGCAACATTGGATTGTCGCATGTTGGTTACTCCGTTGGCGTTTGTGGTTACTTTGTTACGCATGTATACATGTAGGTAGGACATCGGTGACACGGCTCCTACCAAGCAACACCAAGACTATGGGTACTGTCTCCCCGCTATGCGGCACTGATATCAGCTTTGCTGATGGCAAAAATGCAGCTGAGACTCCTAAAGTCGACGACCATGGTTTAGTCTGTAGAGACTTCTCTGCATCATAGGCGAGGCTGGACAAGACGTGGGCAGATGCAGGTACACGACGACAGACGACCTAATGACCGAGAGTTAAGCTCCCGGCATGCAGTCCCAGTACCTCGTGGCTCGAGATCCCAAGGATCAGGAGGAATGGGCAGTTCAAACCGTGAGAGAATAACTGTCCTAGCCCGGTTTGTTCGGTTGCTTTAACGGGAAGATATCTCAAACTCCCGTCGCCCAGAAAGGAGGTCGTCTCACAGAAATGTGCGGGCAGCTCTCCAATGTGAAGGTCATACATATACCGCATCCCCAATCCCACTTGAGGTGGAAGATAGCAAGGAAGGATGGAATCGGGTCTCTCTCTGCATAGAACCCTCGAGCTCCGGTACTGGTCTTCATAAATACACAGTGTCCTGTTAGCGTTCCTCTCATCGACTACCTCTGCGACCTCGTGCGAGAGGATACCAGGTTCATTGGCTAAATATCGTCTCTTGACTGCGGGACGGGTATTGGGCCTCTCTCAACTGAGGAGGGTCATGAGAACCCGCAGCCTTCTTTCCGGCGAGCCATTGTTGGACTGGCTAAGACCCGCCATTTGTGCTCGTGGCTAGATGATTGGTTGATGATTCGCCCGGAGGCGGCTGACGGAACTGTTTGTGATCCCCCGGCGTGACCCCGGAGAGCTTCTTGTGGTAGGGATCTCTCTCTTCGCTTGATCTCTCAATTCTCCGCTCGGTATCACTTCATTCTCTTCCTGATCGCACCATACTCCCAGATGATCTTGAGGGGACAAAAGATGAAAGGCTGAAGGTTGAATTGTGAAAGTTGTTTCAACGGCGGTGAGCGCACCAGGTAGTGTTCCAGGTTCCTCTTACCGTTAGGTGATTGCTTGGTGGGGTGGATCCCCCTCAATTTCTCCCTTATCCGTCCGCCGCTACGCCTTATCAACTGCCCTGCAGTGGCGCTCGGCCCGCTGATCGGCCCCCGGACGCCCCTAAGCCGGTGACGGTCACAGTTCTCGACCGCCAACTTCAGCAATTCACGAAATACCTGGCCCCATCTACTTATTCTCACCAAGCCAAGCCTCCCTTGGGCCATCGCTAGCTTTACGGGAAATCTACCTTTCATCCATCCACTGTATTCGTCCACCCGGTGCCGTGCCGAGGAGGGCTTGAGGAGCTTCGACGATGTGGTCTTTCTCCGCGAATAATCCCCCGGAGGCTGCAACGCCGTCGCCGGATGTCCCTGCGACAGACGAACCTCAGAATGACGGATCAAAGCTCAAAACCTTCATCTCGATTCTAAGAAAGTGAGTACACTGGGACGAGATGGCACCTTTCCAACCCGTTTCGCTGTAAACGGCGTGCGAAGTCGATCATGGTCGGTGAAGCTGGCGAGATGTCATATCGTCATTGGCGACCGCATTGGCATACGGTGTTAACGTGTATACCTTTTCAGGTTTATAGGGGTCGCCGACCTCGCTTCCGTTCGATTCTCCCTGCCATCACAACTTCTCGAACCGACCCCGAATCTCGAGTACTGGAACTATCTTGATTCCCCAAATGCCTTCATCGCCATCGGAACGGCAGACGAGCCGGTCGACCGCATGCTGGAAGTGTTGCGTTTCTGGTTTACAAAGGACCTCAAATATGCAAAAGGGAAGCCCTGCAAGCCTTACAACTCTTGCTTGGGCGAGTTCTTCAGGGTATGTTGAGGCGGGTTGTCTGAAATCCCTGGGCAAAGAGGACATTTACTGATGGAATATTTCCGCCTAGTGTAACTGGGAAACCGAGGATGACGCTCCCAAGATTGATACGAGCGCGCTGCGAAGAAACAGTAGCAGCCCTGGAAGCAGCGCGTCCAGCATGAAGTCGGCAAAGCTCTCCGTACCAGCAGGACTTGGATCTGGGGATGCTAGGGCTGCCTCAACCGTCTCGGTCTCACAGTCAGCCAAGAACCCCGCAAAGCCAGTCCGGGTTTCCTACTTGACGGAGCAGACCTCTCACCACCCACCCGTCAGTGCTTTCTACGTCAGCTGCCCGGAGAAAGGGATCCATGCCAAGGGTTTTGACCAGATCACGGCCAAGTTTACGGGTACTTCAATCAAGGTGATGCCAGGAGAGCACAACCTGGGCATCTTCATCACAGTGGAGCGTCGCGATCATGAGACGTACCAGCTCACGCATCCTGCTGCGCATTTGGGCGGTATTCTCAGGGGCGCCCTGAGTGTGAGTGTTGGTGACATGGCCTACGTCACATGCCCCGAGACCAAACTCAAGGCCATTTTGCGCTACTACGACGACGGCTGGCTCGGCCGGGACAACGAACAAAGTCGAGGGCATCATCTTCCGGTATGACCCAGAGAAGGATGACAAGCGGCAGATCCAGGACGTCCCGGAGGCGGACATCCTCGTGAGGCTGGGCGGGCCCTGGAAGGAGAAGATCGTGTTCACCGTCGGGTCCAAGCCATTAGTGAGCACACATAACTTTCCCCAGCGAAGACATAGCGCTAACCTTGGCCTCACAGAATTCCCACCCCCCCGAGAACCAAATCACAATCATCGACATCGCCCCTCTTGCTGTCGCGCCTAAGGTGCTCCCGCCTTCCGAAAAGCAGCTGCCCAACGAGTCCTTGCAACTCTGGGGAGAAGTGACCAAAGCCATTCTTGCCAAACAGTTTTCGCGGGCGACGACAGTTAAGCAAGAGCTCGAGGAAGCCCAGCGTGAGAAGGCCCGCGAGCGTGAGCGGACAAAAGAGACGTGGAAACCCGTCTTCTTCGAGCAGGCTACCGACAAGGCCGGCAAGCCGTCCTTGACAGACAAGGGTAGAGAGGTCCTCAACCGGGCGCAGAAGGGGGATTGGAGTATGGATGGTATCATTTCTCAAGAAGTTGTTTGATGGAGTTTTGGGGTGCATGGGGGAACAGGGTGCATTTTGGCTTGGGATAGAATAGAGGTGGTTTCAGCGGCATCATATCATCTTAATCTCCCTTTCCCCCTCATTGGATGCATCCACACACATTTTTTTTCCCCTTTCAGCTTTTCGGCATGGCAGGCTGGGCGTTGGTCGCTGGGACGATGACGCGTACGGAGGGGCATGAGGAGGGGCCCCATACCTAATGAGGGGCTTCCTTCCACTCGCACAGGACACCAGAGCTGGGAGAGGGGTTGGTGATACCTGCCTAGAATAGGGTATATTCTTTGAAACCATTCCATTATGAAACATATCAGCTCAGAGATAGATGTCATGAACATGAAGGAGGAGGCAGTGCTCGTTTGGCACCTATGAAACCCGTGTTGTATCCTCTGATGAGAAACCATCCAGGCGTCGCAGGTGTCATTGAACGTGGAACCGATCCAAGGGTCTTGGGTTAGGGTTAGGTGTGTATAAGCAAGATGGGCGAGGCAAGGTTGACGATATAGATAGCCAGGCTGAAAAGCTCATCTAAGTCGACGTGAATATTGTACTCTCAAGTAACAGAGAAATTCCCACTTTGGTTGTCTTGAGAATATCAACATCACTCGCTTCATGTTCGTGTTGTCCGAGTGTCGAAGCGAGTCTCGAAGTCAAATCTTGGCAACAGGCAACCCCCGGGCTTCGCCCCACAATGCGCTTTTGGCAGAGCATCTCACCCACGTTATCGTTATCGGAGCCGCTAAGCCCCATTTCAACATGCAGCGTCGAGCGCAACAGAAAAAGGAGCAGAAAAAAAGGGCAAGGGGAAAACATTGGGGGCCCCAGGCAAGGCAGACACCGCACCAATATCAACTTCGACTCGTGTCACCTCTCGCTGCACTGTCCTCGACGACTGCACAGCCAAATCGTACTTCAAAGACCTCGACATCTGGCCCCTGCAAATTCCCCAGCGCCGCCAAGCAAATCGCCTTGTCGTGTCGAACCCCTAAACTCAACCTGAACAATCCCCGAAAGCCAAGGCCAAGCCAAAGAATCTCATCAGCCAGCGCGCGACAACCACCGACCCCATCACCCCAACACGGGCCCTCACCACCCCAGCGAACGGGGCAAGCTAAAACAGACAACACAGGCCCAAGGTTTCTAGCGCTGCCCGCGATAAGAATAGGACATAGGCAACCAGGGAAAGGAAAAGAAAAAAAAAAAAAGGGAGAAAAGCAGAGACAGAGACAAGAATACGAGAAGAAACAAAGCCATGGCGACCACTACGTCGGGCCTGACACGGCGTCGAGGCGGCGCTGGAGGGGACGGGGATACCAACGGCGGCAGCGGCATCGGGTCGCGAACCAATTCGTCGGCTAACGTCCGGGGCAACGGGGCGACCAGCGCGGGGCCGGAGACCAACTACGAGAGCGGCGAGAACGGCCACAAGATCGTCTTCGACCCGCGCGATATGAGCGAGAGCGCCGAGCGCAGCAAGCAGCCCAAGCTGACGCTTATGGAGGAGGTGTTGCTACTAGGGCTGAAGGACAAGCAGGTTGGTTTTCTCGAGACCCGACTGACTCTCTCCTCACTACGGCCTGTGGTGGGTAGATTGACAGATGATTGACGCCGGTCTACGGAAACAGGGCTACCTCTCCTTCTGGAACGACAACATCTCGTACGCGTTGCGCGGGTGCATCGTCCTCGAACTGGCCTTCCGTGGCCGCATAGCCATGCAAAAGACGCCCTCGAGGCGGAGCTTCCCGCTCCCCGACCGCATCATCGAGGTAATCGACGACACACTGACGGGCGAAGTGCTCCTGGACGAGGCGCTCAAGATGATGAAGACGAGCGAGAAGATGAGCGTCAGCAGCTGGATTGACCTGATGAGCGGTATGCGAGCACCACCACCACCACCATCATCATCACTACCACCCACACCGGCCCCGAAAAAACGGATACGAATTCGCAAGTGCGTGTGCTAACCTGTGTGCGGGCGGGCAGGCGAGACATGGAACCTCATGAAGATCGGCTACCAGCTCAAGCAGGTGCGCGAGCGGCTGGCCAAAGGCCTGGTAGACAAGGGCATCCTGCGGACCGAGAAGCGCAACTTCCTGCTGTTCGACATGGCGACGCACCCGGTGGTGGACAACGGCGCCAAGGAGGAGATCCGGCGGCGCGTGCGCAACATGCTGACGCAGCGCACCGTCGTGCTCAACGGTTCGCAGTGGCTGCCCGAGAACCTCGAGTTCCGCCACCTGCGCACCGTCGCCATGGTGTGCGCCGCCTATGCCGCTAACGTGCTCGAGAACGCCCTGTCCACCCTCGGCCACGAGGCCCGCGAGAAGGCCTTCAACCAGACCGACGAGCTGCTCGCCGACTACAGCCAGTGGCCCTTTGGCCGCAAGGCCACCGGCAACGACATTGGGGAGAACCTGCCGCAGGTTATTGCCGAGGTACGTTTGACGCGACCCCTATCCATGCCTCATCATTCATATCTATGAACCGAAAATTAACTAACCCCTCTCCAGGAAATCAACAAGTCTCCAGAGAAGGAACTCCAGCTAGAAGTCGTAGCGGCCTGCCTCAGCGTCTTCACACGCCTTGACTCCCTTCTCTAGTGGTCAGGTAGTCTGCCGCCAGTATCCCCGCTGCACCGATACATGCCCTGACTCCCTCATTTGGTGGCACTACGTTTGCCGATGCGGCGATCAAAACACTGCCCACGATTACCGTGCAATTTATCTGCTGTCCGGACCATAACCACCCAGCCATCCTCCTCGGCCGATTCCTTTTCTCCTTTTTCCTCAAAACTACTCCGTTACGCCAAGCCTATCTCCTCAGCAACGAATGTTTTTGGTGGTGTGTTTGACATGGACAGAGGAGATTACCCCTTCTCCTTACTCGGATCTGGGAAAATACGACGGGGTGTTCTTGGGCTGTGCGGGTTGCTTTTCAACGTCGTCAAGGCGCGGATAATCAAGCGTCGGAGGATTCGAGGGTGGGCGGCGCTACATTCATGGGTTCTAACCTGGGGTTTCGGGCTGGGATTCGGCACGGCTGGGGGAGAAAGTTGGAGGTTTCTGTCTGGCGGACGGGGCGGGACGCTTTTCGGAGGGGCGGCGAAAAACGGACGCGTTAGGTTGGTGGGTTGGTTGGTTAGGTAGCTAGCGGGCCTGGTAGGGGAGGGAATGGGCTGGGGGCCGAAGGTGTAGATGTGGGGCTGGGACCGGGATCGGGATCGGGAACAAGGGCGGCATTTGTCTCTCTGTCTGTCTGTCTGTCTGTCTACCTGCAATTCATTGCATCCTTCCTGGCCTAGTCTTGGTAGGGGAGGGAGAGGTGGACGGGGAAGGGGGGGGGGGGGGGGGTGGCTTTGACGGCTCAACCCCCGGTGTTGTGTGTGTGGTGGTGTGGTGGTGTTGGGCTGTACCACGAACTAGATGCCCGGGCCATGTTGGTTTTTCCACTGTTATCTACTTTCGGGGGGAGCTCTTGTGTTTGGCTGCTGGGAAACGGAGCAAAAGGGAGCCTGTTTCTTCTCTCTTCTCTTGTTATCTTAAGGATTCTTCTACTTCCTTTTATTTTTATTTTTTATTTCATGCAGATAATTGATGGCGTGTCATGACTCCAATCTGGAAAATCCCTGCCCATGAAGGCTGTCAATTGGGAATAGATTTGGTATTTGGGTGGTCGCGTGCCATATTACTGGATTTGAACTGTTTGGATCAGTTGGTTTGTCGACATGATAGTGGAAGGTAAATAATTACTCCTTTACATTCATCAATCATCTTGCCTTGGCTCAGCGCATTCCGAATGAGGAAAAAACAAGAGGGAGCAGGAGATAAAAATAAACCAGCAAAAAAACACACAAAAAGCTCACCAGCTACTGAGTATCAGTAGCCAGTTACGAAAACCCCGTCGGGGTTTTATCAGGGCTCGAACTGGGCACCCCCTATACTATCAGGGAGATTCCGCGGGGAGCACCGCCTTCCCCCGCTCGGCCACGAGGGCGTCTTGCGGGGGAGTTGTTAATCAGTGTCGCAACTCATTGATAAAGGCCTGGCACTGGGTAATGGGGAGGGGGCGGGCATCGAACTCATACTGTGCCTGATATGGGATGGAAAGCGCTCGTGTTCGGGGCAAGGGGGAGTTTTGAAGTTGGCTTCAGGTGACGGAGCACACGGTATGCGGAATAGGCGATGAGTTTCTTGCTTTGCGATCAGCTCAGACAATGATATTTTCCTATCCACTGGACTCCGAGAATAGCATGCAGACCAGGTGCCGCCCAAAAGACAACAATAAAGCCCCAAAATACCGCGGTACGTCCGGTATATATCAACGCCAGACACCGCAGCGACATACGAAACAAAGACCGCATTACCTGGCCGCCCGCCCCCGACAAAGCTTCCCGTTTCCCCGACGTCCAAAATCTCTCCCTCATTTCCGCCCACCGCCAAACCCGCCCTCGAACCCAGGCCGGTTCTTCTTCTTGGTCTGTACGCCCTTGTTCTTCTTCTTGCCCGACTTGTGGGCGGCTTTCTCGTCCCGGCGCTTGCGGAGGTTCTCCTCGCGCTTGCGCTGGCGCTGCTGGATTGATGTCTTGACGTCCTCGGCGCGGTCTTTCCATTCGCGCTCCGACTTCTTCTTCGACTTCTCCTTGCGCTTCAGCGCCTTCTTGAGCAGCGACTCGTTGTCGTGAACCTTGACGCCCTCGGCGCGCTTGCGCGCGGCCAGCCATGTCTCTTTTTCGAGCACCTCCTTGCGCTTGTCCTCATCCATGTTTGCGACACGCTTCTTTTGCGCCTCGAGCTTTAGGAGCGCCGTTTTGGGGTCCGAGGGTCCCTTCTTTTTGGCGTTGGCGGGACCCTTTTCGTAGCTTAGGTCGTGCGACAGCTCGGTCCCGTCGGAGAAGGCGAGGCGGCCGAAGGCGAAGTGGTTGGCGTTGCGGTCGTCGTCTTGGTCGAACAGGGGGCTGAGCCCGGGCGAGTTGCGCGCACTGTTGAGCGCTTCCTCCCGTTTCCTGTCCTCCTCTTCTTTAGCCAACCGGCGCATCTCCTGCTTGTGGGCCTTCCGCTGGGCCTGCTTCTCACGCCGCGACTCGATTAGGTCTTGCCTTGTACGGATGGGCTTGCCCTCGGAATCGTCGGCCTTGCGGTCGGCGCGAAGGGCCATGAGCTTAGCCTCGAGGCGGGCGCGAAGCGCAGTGGTGTCGGCAGGAATCTTAAGGTACTTGGGCTTTTCTGATGGCGGAACAGCGGAGGATATCGAGGTCGTGGTGCTCGCGGGTTCGACTGAGGTGTTCTTGGCTGTGTCAAAAGTGGGTGACTCGGGCGTTGATTCCGCTGATGTGTCTTCTTCGTTTGCGAGTCCCGATACGTCGATGGGCGCCAAAACTTCGTCGTCACTTTCGGCTTCAGCAGATGGCTGCACGGGGGCTTCGTCCGTTGTGGACGCCTCGGCCGTGCTCTCATCATCCTCGACGGCGACTTTCTCAACCTTCTTAGCCTTCTCTGCCTTCTTCGCCTTCTTGGGATTCTCTTCCTTTGCCTTCTTGGCTTCCTCCTGCTTCTGCTTCTTGGCCAGCTTCTTCTCTTTTGCCTGAGCTTTCTTGCTGAGAGCAGGCTCGTCGGCATTTTGTGCTGTTGCCTCTACCACCTTCTGCTTTTTCGGCACCTCTTCCTCCTCTTCCACTTCCTCCTCTTGCTCCTCGTCCCGGTCCAGTTTCAGCTTCTTCTTCAGCCCCTCCCCAGGCTTCTCCCTTTCGATACCGGAAATGTCACTGTCGTCGTCTTGTCCAGACCCCTCCTCGCTCTCCTCCTGAGCCTCCATCTCTCGCAGCTTGCGCTTATTCCGCGCCCGCTCGTCAAGCACCTCCTTCGCATTGCGGTTGAGTTCGCTGTCTGGGTCGAGCTTCCCCCGCTTGGCGGCCTTGGCTTCGTCCTTGGTCTGTTTCTTTTTCCGCCACTGGTCCTATCACGAGGCAACGAATGGGCGCATCAGTAACAGCTCTGCACGCAGGTGGGGGAACCGAAACCGGACGGCTATGCGGCTGGAGGTGCGCAAACCAAACTCCTGAACGACGAGGGGCGAGAGCGCGAGCAGAGGGAGAGACAACATACACTTGTGTCTTCCCCGTAGTACATCTTGGCTGGGATTAGAGAAAGAAGGCCATCGAAGGCCTTTGCATGATCGCGCAGGCGCTCCTGGTACAAGCGAACAAGGATCAGTCGGCGAACGTTTGCTTTGGTGAGGACGGTTTGCATCGGGCGCTTACCTGTAAAGTCGAGTCCGACATCTTTGTGTCTCTTTCTTGAATTGTAAATTGTAGAAAAGACGTCTTCACATTCGTATTTCAAGGACACCGACGTCGACGAGATTCTCGTGCTGCGAACAATCCTGTCAAACGTGGGCGTCGACCTCTCGAGGAAAAATAACGAGGCGGGACGACAGCGGATGAATTTTATCGCCGCGAAATTTTGGGTGGATGTGGAGTTCCCGTTGCTGCCCCACCTCTGCAGCTCGCCGATTCTGCCAGGCGGTCAGGCTATTGAGAGCGGATTTGGGGGTGACAATAGCAATGGAAGACGAGCAACGCCAACAAACAATACGAACAAGCAAAGTTAATAGGTTGAATAAGATAAGAGCTTACAACACAACCAATGCCGCACTTGTCTCCATTGGTAAATGGTAGGTCTGTGACCGAGAGACCAAGGCGCACATCTGTTGTATGGGGGGTGTCTGCAGCGAACCACCAACATGGATGATCCCCTCCGGCAACCCGCTCAAACGCTTCCGTTGCCATACCCAACATCTTCATCCGCCCCGCCCCCAACATCATGACCTAGAGCATGGCAAACACCAAGTTGATTAAAGATACACAACACTTGCTATGATGCTCCCGCCGCCAGATTCCAAACGCCAACTCGAGCCCAGAACAGATCGGCCAACCGCTAGCGCCACGCTATGCACTCCTCCCGCTCCTACTTGCACCACCTCGCCATTCCAGTTCCTTATTCCTACTCGCTGCCCCCCGCCCTACCAATCCAATTGAGAGATCATGAATATAGAAACTTCGACAGATTCAGCGGCCTGACTGTGCTGAAATGTGCGGGTCGCTCATCCACAGCATCCACACCATCATCGTCGCTGTCGCTACCAGGAATAATTTGATCCTCGCTACCCAGGGACATGTTCAGCGCTTCAACCTCCACGACATCTACTCTTGGCAAAGGGATGAATGCCGGGTTTACAGGTAACGAGTCGAGCTGCTTGGAACTGTTGCTTGCCGGCGGGGTCAAGGGCATCGACTGGGACTTTCCACGTCGCAACGCCCGAGTTCCAAGTCGTTGTAGGGGAGTCGGCATGGGGATTTGCGCGCCCCTCGGGCTCCTATGCTTTGGGGTCGCCGTTTGCTGGATACTAGATGCCGGCGTAGGTAGCCCGTGGACGACCCGGGTTCGGGGCTGTGCCATGTCATACGAAAACCCTTTCAGCAGCTCCCCCAGCGGTGTCATCGATGCGGGATGGCCGCCGCTATCCCCCTCGTCTGGTCCGTGTTGAACAGGCGATGACTCCGGTACTTCTACCGCATCATCCGAGTTTTGGTCGCAGTTGTCGATTGACGTCTCCGGAGGAAGAACAGTTTCTCTCTGTTTCTTAGGAGATGGTTCATGGAAAATGGCGATGTCGTCAGCTGGCGTGGTTGGTTTGTCAGAGCGCCATGAGGGGTCGGGGAGACTCCGGAATGCCTCTTCGATTGAATCATCCGACATTAAAAACTCGTCCGCCTTCTTCCTCGCAGGCTTCTTTTGCGTCTTCGCGGAAAAGAATTTGCTTTTTTCTGGGGTTACACTGGGAACTCCGGCAAAGGCCGAGTCGTCACATAGGCGGGCTTTCTTCGGCGGCCTGCTGGAAGACACCGGGTCCTGATACACTTGGATCGCTGGGCCGGCTGTCCGACGACGATGCGTTGATGACTCGAATATATCTAGACCGAGCAACTTTGAGATAGGTTCCGTCCTTCGACGAAGCACGTGAGAAGAATTGCTGGTATATGGTCGGGCCGGACTCGCCGAAGCCTCTTCCACACCTTCGACATATGGCCGTGGAAGTGGGAACACGATTGGGCGGGGGGCCTCCTCAACCGGTGTACTGGTGTTCGGATCCGAATCTACGGCGAAGCAGTTCGGGTCCATTTCACCGAGAGGTATCCGACGGGAATTCCTGTCCTTGAAGAACTCGCTAATCGGTTTTCCAAGGCTTCTGGGTGGTCCGCTCGCTGGGGCAAGAGCCTGGCTGATCCTCCTCTTCCCGGGAGACCGCGGAATTAAAATACGTTGTTTGGTAATGGGATTGACATCGCCAGCGGCGATAGACCGAGCCATCTCCGTCTCGACCGGCGCTCCGATGAATGGCATGTCGTCGACATTGACTGAGGGCTCCGGGTCTGTCAAGAGAACAATATCCCGTTTTTTAGGACAAAATACACGTTGATGTAAAAAGGTGAGCTCGGCTTGTTTGAAATCCTGAAGGTAGGTCTCGGGGATCTGGTGTTTGCCGTCGAAACGCAGCATTTTGACGATGCGTTCGGGGGTCTTGTGCTTCCGAATCAACCGATACGCAGTCTTTAGGCCGATGTTGTTCACGCCATCGAGGTAGTCGCAGCCGCTGAAAATAGCCATATGCCGAAACTCGTTATCCGTCCAACCGGTAAGAGAAATCTCACGGACGGCGCAGAAGTCTCGCCGGTTGATCTCAATACAATGACCGTGTTGGTCCATCTTGGTCAGGAGGCGCTTCGCGCCAAACACCAACAGGTCCGAATCTTCCGAGACGATGCCGCTGATTAGACCTTGGCGTTCGAGGTAGACCATCTGAGCGTCCGCCTCGTACGGTGCGACCACATACGGGACATCGGCCTTTTTAAGCTCCTCGATCAGATGACGAGCCATTTCGGGCGTGACGTCAATGGCCTTCTGGAGCTCGACATAAGCCTGCGACGGCTTGCCAGCCTTCAAGAGCTCGAGTCCGGCCTTCCTGGTTTCTTCTCGGCGCTTGGAACGGGAAGCTTCGGTTTTTGCCTTGCTGGGCAGGAAATCGCCGTCGAACACCAGATACGGGGTAACACCAAAGTACTTGAACATCCTAACACGGTGCATGGCAAAGTCCACGTATCTAATGCGATGTCAATATTGGGGAGGTCAAGGGAGGAGGAATCCGGAAGGACTTACTTCCGAGTTGGCTTGCCCTGGGCTAGCTCCATGGCACAGGCTACGGCACCTCGATGGAGCCAGCCATAGGCATCGACGCCGAAGGTCTCGCCGGCATACTTTTTGAGCTCGATGGGACGATGAATTGATTTGAGCAGCGGAAGAAGGCCTTGGGGGGGTCAGCGGGTCAAACAATGAGAGGGAAGAGTAGGTGGAATGATACCTGAGATGCCCATCCTGGTGGTCACCCAAGGGAGCAGGACCTGCGTATCCCGCTATAGCGGTCTGTGGGGGGGAATCTCGGCACCGAAAAGCAGACAGCAGCTAAACAGATTCGAAGGCCATGGGGTCTCGGTATTGGTATTCTCTGTTTGCTCTCTGGGTGGACCTGAAACGGGGATTGTTGGAAGAACGCGTGGTTGTGCAGGACGTGTTTACTGGACTACGACGCGTGCCGACTGGGTAAGGGCGACGAAGATTACGAAACAGAAATGATTGAAACAACGGCGGCGTAACAAGCAAAGAATAGGTCCAGTTGGCAAAGACCAAGAGGATCGAATCAAGTATAAACGCAATGGTTGGAGTCAGTTTGGTGTGGGGGTTCCTGGTTGCCAATTTCGGCCGAGGATGGTGGAGGGCAGTCGCTACAGATGTAGATTATTCTCCAAGAACGGGAAGCGCGACCGCGTCGTCGAGCTCCGTTACCCCCGCGACGGCCCCACCTGATGCACCGCCAGGGTTAATGCAGGGATGGTCAGGGTTTGACATGGTATAAATGGAAGGGGGTGAAAGGCGTTATGGAATAAAATGGATGCAATCAACGCGCTAAATTCAGAGCATTACAAGAGCTGTGTGTGTTGATTTCCTGAAATATTGACGATTGTTGCACGGAGTACCTCCAGCTTGTCTGTGGTGCTTGATTCGGGGTCCCCTGCAAGCACTTAAGCTTCCTATCGGCCTAATGCCCCGCCGTTATCGACTTGCTCCATAAAAAAACTTCCGGGCCAGAACTGGAACTGGTGCTCGCCAGACAGACAGCTCTCATCCCACAGGCCCCCTTCCCCTTACCTTGAATCACAACAGCCAATCTGACAAGATCACGTTCATCATGGCAAAAACACTAGAGAAGACGCGTAAGCAAATCGCGAAAAAGCGAAACGGGAATATCGACGCGCTTCATGGGAAGAGCCGGGATTCGAAACGCCTTCATCGGGCCCAAGTGCGTGATGAACGACTCGAGAAAATCGCCGAGACCCGAAGGAAAAAGGACAAACCACTCCGTGTGTATTCTCTTTTTCTTTTCCTTGTGGCTTCGAGGCTGACTAATTGTAATAAGTTGCCCGTGCCGCATTCTTCCAGAACGCTGTCCAAGAGAATGGAGACGAGCCTCTTGCCCTCGAGGCTGTTCAAACCAAAATCAACGAGTGAGTGCTGTGGCGTCAACTATCACAAACCGTCGGTTTAGGATAGGGCCACCTGCTAATTATAGCCCAGATTTGTGCACCAATATGATGAGGAGTACGAAGAGGTCAAGAAAACCCGGCGCGCAGGACGGCCGGCAAGCGCAAAAGAAGATCTGCTAAAAATGAAGATCTCGGCCCTCGAGAAAGAGCACCGCGACGGGTTCTGTACGACTATTTTCCCCCAATTTCTCCATCAATAATCTGACCCTCTCTTAGATCTGCCCGATCTCACTGTGGACGCGAATGTTCAGCTGCTCAGCAGATTCGAAGGGTCCTGGTCGTACCTCACCAGTCTTTCCTGGGTCAAGGTATCAGCCGCAGGGAACGTCAAGCCCTCAAGCTTCCCTCCCCAAGGCCTCTAAGACGCCAAACTGTCAGTCCGGAGGGGGGCATGCAAGTCCCATGTGCTCGCCACGCGAACGGCACAAGGGCATCGCCGGTGGTCGCCGGCTTGCGTCTTGCACGTCGGATGTGGTTGCGAGCAAACTCTCTGAGACATTCTGAGGCACAGTCGGGCGTCAGTCACCACGGCGGCGGATATTCGCACCTACATGCTGTACTTCCCGGTGTCTTACACTCATCCGGCCCCCCTGGCAGCATCTCCTTGGCCAAGATGCCCCGCTGTCTGCGGCTGGCCGTGTCAGCCTGCGTTTCCGGGCATCGAAGCCCCCCTGGAAAAACTCGAGCCCCCATCCTCCGCACGGTGCACGCCCGAAACACAAGCGCAGAGCAGGCCTGCAGTCCCCGATGCGCGGTATCCCGAGGTGACATGCGCGGGTAACGAATGATATCCGCGCTTGTGTTTGCCGACGGTGCCGGCACTGGCTGTCAAGGCGGTGCGGTATGATGCGGCCCTCAAGGCCCCAGGCGGCCGGCAGCCTGACAAACGGGGCAGAATCGGAGCCCTCGGGCGCCGCAATTGGCGGGGTGGACGGTTGCACACACGGGGTAGCGGCAGGTATCCGAATGCCAGCGACGGCCCGGGACCCATCTCATCTCTCTGAGACCGGAGCCCTGGGAACGTCGTGGTAGACCTTGGCACACCTTTGCGCTCGAGTCCTCCGAGTCTGCCTAGCGGAGTCCAGTGGTGTCATCTCATAGGAGAACAATGAATCTGTCAACCTTCCCTCACGCCATGTCCCTCCGGGCCTGTATGACATGCCACACAGGCACATGTGCCCCCCTCCGTCTTCCGCTGTTCCCTCATCGCCCTCGGCCACGGATACGTGCACCAACATACCCTGTGCTCCGCACGTTGTCGCCATGTTTGACGGCAACACCCACTCCAAGCTTCATACAGTCACGGATCTGGCGCACAACGGGGCCTATCCGTATGGCCGGGACGATGGGCCACGTTCCGCGGGGAAGCCGGTCTCCTTCGCTTTTGATGTAGCAACGGGTCGGATCGAGCCTCGAGTCCGCGGTTGTGCTCACGTCCACGGATCTGAAATCGAGGTTGGCGGGGGATATATTTCCGTTTTCCACATCCCACTTAGTTTCTATTTCTTCACTTTCGGAGTTTCGGCATCGTCCCCACTCGATTATATCATAGACTTGAGAACACTGCCGACCCCAATACAAGATTTCAACCCCTTAACTCAACGCAACCCCACACCAAACGGCACTCAACCGGGCCTCAAGACCACACATAGACACCCAGCAAAACAAGCCAACCCATATCAAATCAAACCCCAACCAACGCCATCAACCATCTCCTCCCCCCAACACCAAAAACCAACCTCAAGAGGAAAAAAAAAAAAAAAAAGAAAAGAAATGTGCACCTACACAACGCACATCCGCATCTGCGCCCGCTGCTCGCGCGAGGACACGGTGCTGATCTCCGAGCAACTGTGCCTGGCGGCCCGCGCCTCGGGCATATTCGGCAGCTGCCTGGAGGGGGTGCTCGGCCTGCGTGACACCCCCCCCTGTCCGTTCTTCCATTCCCGGGAGAATCTCCATGGTAGTTGTGCTGGGGTTCTCCCTAAGAAATGGGGATGGGGATGGGGTGTATGGGGATGGGGATGGGGAGGGCGGTTGTTGGGGGGTGGGCGAGGGGTGTTGGGCTAAGGAGGGCTAGGGCTGTGAGGGTGGCGGCGGGTATGGGGGGTGTGGTGGTTGGGGGTGGTGGTGGTGCTGGTGGTTTTTAGTGGTGGGAGGTGGAGGTGAGGGGGGGAAGGAAAAGGTATGGGGTTGTTAGCTGACCTAAGGTATTTGTGAGAAGGGAAGTTACTAACCTAAGGAAGTGGAAAATGGGAGTGGATGTGGATTGGCTTTCAGGTGGCGTTCGGCTGGGATACTACTGCGTTGTGATGAGTTATGAAGCGATGAATCAATACCCCTGATACAGAATTAACCTACCCACTTCTTACTAGGTAGGTATCAAACAGCAAACAACATTGATAGGTACCTTATGTTTCGTTGTGCCAGGTGTGGATCTCTAGAGTCCCCGGTGTTGGCTTGGCGTCTTTCACTGAGTGATGTTCTGTCGCGCTTCCATGATTGGACCCCGCTCATGGCCCGTGCACGCGATTTTTTTCCACAGCTTGGAGCTTGCGCAGAGGCTTCATTCGGTAGCTGGGTTCAGAACTCACCCTCCCCTCCCATTCCCACCTCTTCAACTTCATCACTTAGACCCAACTTTCCCCTTCTTTTTGCTCTGCATCCTCCTCACAGAGTCAATACACAAATACAGCCAAAATGATGTCCGTTCGTTCTATTGCGCGCTCTGCGCCCAGGGCCCTGGCCCGTGCCTCCACCACATCCACCATCTCCCGCTACCAGAGGACGAGCAGCATCCTCAGCGCCCGCCCGACCTCGCTCCTCCGCACACAGCAAGTCTCTGCCTTCTCAACATCAATGCTTCGGAAGGCAATGGCCGGCGAGGTGGACGAGGAGGTGTCGGCCAAGCTGGCCAGCGAGATCGACTTCGAGAAGGACGTCAAGCAGAACGAGCCACTGCCCGCCAGCATCAAGGACTTCTTGGACAACAGCCCATTCAAGGTTGAGGACGTTCCCGGCAGTGAGAATGTTGTCCTTACGCGCATGTTTGGTGAGGAGAAGTAGGTTTCCCACGCATGGCTGCTTTATTCTTACATGTTCGTTCCTTGGCTGACTTCTTACCCAGGATCACGGTCACTTTCTCTATCACCGACCTGCACAACTACGAGCCCGACATGCTGGATGACCAGGCCATGGAGGATGACCTTGACGATATGGAGCACGGCCACAGCCAGCAGGACCAGCGGGGTGGCGCCGCCGACCTTGCCCAGGAGGGCAACGAGGACCTCGAGGCCGGTGAAGACGAGACCTCCGTCCCCTGCCGTCTCAACATTGTCATCGAGAAGTCCAACAACAAGGGCGCTCTCAACATTGAGGCGGTCGCCCAGGACGGTGCCATTGTCGTCGAGAACCTCTACTACTATGCCGACGCCAAGCTGGCCCACAGCACCGACGCCAACACTGTGCACGCCGCTCAGAGCACATACCCTGGCCCGCCGTTCGGCAGCCTCGACGAGGACCTGCAGATCCTGATGGAGCGTTACCTCGAGGAGCGCGGCATTACCCAGGCGCTGGCCATCTTTGCGCCGGACTACATGGACTACAAGGAGCAGAAGGAGTACATGGCGTGGCTCAAGAACGTCAAGGGCTTCATCGACGCTTAAGGGGAGAAAAGAGTATTTGGGGGAACGCGGATAAGCGCTGTGCGATATGATTGTATTACTTGCCACTCTTAAGAAACGTCTGGATGTACGATAGGTACGGCGGGCATGAGGACGTCTTCCTCTGTATACACGGAACTGTAAAATGACAATACGACGAATAATGAACAAACCTCTCTGCAAGGCTGGTATGTCCGAGCTTGTCGATGTCGTATCCGAGTCCCACGCCCTTTTCACGCCATTCGCTTAGTCATTGGCTGGCCAGACCCCGATGGCCTGATGAAGCCCCTGCAGCTGAAGCTTGGGTTGCGGCTGACTTTTACAGGGACTCAACCACCCGGCACATCAAGGACATATCCTGAGGGCAGATGTTGTTTCTTTGAACAGTCCGCCTCACTCGTTATGTTGCATTTTATAACACCATTTTGTTTTAAATTATTCCCTTTTGTGAACATTGAGTTTTACATCAAGGACCTCTGCCCCTGAACCCTGCATTTCCAGGATCCCAGGCCTTCGTATTCTTAGTCAACCCAAACCTCGAGACAGAACGGCAGATATTGGAATATCAAGTTTTGGATGGGGTTCTTGCAAAGCAATCCACACCCTCGGCGAAGTCCTGAAGTATGAATATGAGTCGAAGTAAAGCGGCGGAATATGGGGACCGGGAGGACGACATCGAGATGCAGGTCTCCGAGGTGACTGATGAGGAGGTTCAACTCTTACACGACGAAGACTATGAGCGGTTCGAACTCGACGATGCGTCTCAGCCACGGCGGCAACTACAAGACCAATCAGGCTCAAGGGGATTCTGGTCAAGAAACAGGGCCCCTAAATGGCTCGCCTTCCTCTATGGCCCTGACCCGCCCAAGATCCATACTATCAACCCCATATTCCCTTCGGTACAGCAACTTCCTAGGAAATGGCTTGAGAAGGCGCTACCGGGACGATGGCAACGAATAGGCCTCCTGATTCTGTTCCTCCTCGCCTGGGCCACCTCACTTGCCATCCCCTTGATTCTCAGCAAGGGGACAGCCACCGACGCATCCGGTGCGGCCATCCGCCATATTGACTGCGTCGATACCCTCTGGAAACGCAACAACGAGTGCGGCCTCGACGGAATCAACTGCCGTCCTTTCTCCAACACTTCTTTTGCCTTCCGCTGCCCGGCCGACTGTGCCAGTGTCCGCGTGTTGAACCCGCATCATGTCGGGAACCAGGACGTCAACTTCCGGCCTTTAGTTGTCGGTGGTGGTGGCAACGGCCCTTACCGCGGTGACTCCTTCCTCTGCGGCGCCGCCATCCACGCGGGCGTCATCCGCGATACCACGGGCGGGTGCGGCGTCGCGACCCTCGTGGGAGAGTACTACCAGTACTTCTCCTCCTCCCAGCACAACATTGAATCGATCCCCTTCGACTCCTACTTCCCGCTCTCCTTCACCATCACCGCCGACCCCACCCTCAAATGCACCGCCCCCGACCCGCGCTGGACCGTCTCCCTCCCGCTCTCCATCCTCTTCACCGTCCTCCTCACCATCTTCACCACCTCGCCGGCCCTCTACTTCTTCACCACCTTCCTCGGCATATTCACGCACGTCGCGCTGGTCTCAGACCCGCCCAACCTCTCGACCCCCTCCACAACCTACCTCCTCCCCTCCCTCATCTCCCACTACGCCGGCCGCCTCCTCCCAGCCATCTTCACCGCAGCCATCATCTACCTCACCAGCGTCCGCCACACCCTCTCCCCACCACCACCACCCGATTCCCCCCACCCCCCCCACCCAAAAAACCACCCCCTCGAAACCACCCTCCTCCACCCTCCTTCCTCCTCTGT